ATTATTGTTAATATTTCCAAATATACATTTACCAACTGATCGTCTAAAAGTTTAAAACAACTTTATCTTTTGCTTATTTGTTTCATTTTTCTGCTGACTTTTTTTCAGCAATGCATCGTTTGTCATAACATACGTAGTAAAAGTTATAAAACAGTACGTTGTAAAAGTTCAAAATATAAGAAACTGCTCACAAAACCTGCGTTTTGTTTGGCAGTATTCTTGAAACTTGATTGATTGAAAAAATAATGAAAAAACAAGTTAAATGCTTTTTTCTTCTTCTTTTTTTTTATTCATCATTTTTACCCAGTAATTTCCCCTTTTTATTCTTTTATAATCACCTAACTACATTGTTTGATCCTCTCCTATACGAGCAATAACAACAACCACGACAACAAGTGCAAAAAAAAACCAACACAGACTGTACTGAGGTGTATTAAAAATTTTGATTTAGAAAAAACAAAAGAACCTCTTGATACCTTTTGACACAGGACAAGTACGAATTGATTGACCACAGATTATTCGTCAAGTTTGTGACCAGAAGAACTAAGTAAGCAAATAAATGCCTAATGAATTGACCTGTACTATGTTCGACCAATCTGTGTTTGTTTTGGGAAATTATCAGATATCAGACACAGTTCTTTATGCTACTAGTAATGCGGTTATTGACGTAAAATTCAGCCATGAAACCAAAAGCTGTAAAAAAAAGATTTTAAAAAGAATAAAACAAACAAAAAAAAGAAATAAGGTCTTTTTGAAAAAATTGGTAAAAATTTGATATGATTAGAATTGCAGAAAAAAAGGAACTTTGTTTCTATTATCAAAACTGACTGTCTTTAAAAAAATAATCCGAGATCAAAAATATTATAGACTTCTAAGCAGAAGAAAAAGTAACCAAAGGAAAAAAAACTGGACTAGTTATCCTGATGCTTGCACTATAAAAAGAACCTTATCAACTTAAAGTTTGTTCATGGTAACGGCAACAGTAACCATGTTCAAACTTCTTCTGTTGGCAGGCATCGGCAAATGTTTAGCCGTCTTACTGTTCAACTTTTTTCAACATTTCTCTGCATATGAATAAGAGACAAAAAATTTCTGTTATCAATATTCAAAAAATTAATTAACTTGAGTCATTAGCCGTTGAGTTCCTGAGCCTAGTTTACTGAATTTTTACGACTTTAACGTTTTATTCTTTTT